AGGAAATGAAGCTGATAAGAGTGGAGGGGTGAAGGGTGGTAAATACTGAAAGATGCAAAATTAGGATAACCTTCCTATCTTGTCATCCTATGCTGGTTGGTGGGAGGTAAACTTTGGTACTTCCGGCATGAGTATGCTTTTTCCCACCCAATGGCCTAAGTATAAATGCTAAGGCAACACAGTTTTTCAAAGAGGTCCCCAAAGAGTGTAAGAGTGGTCTAGCATCTCACTGTGCTCCCCAGTCCTAACTACCAGAATCAATTCATAATGAGCTGCCTTTATTGTCTGATAAAATCTGGGTGCTTAAAATTCAACAGGATGCTTTAAAGTAATATTTTTTTAAATGCAGTCTTTGAGTAAAACTCCAAATCAATTTTACCAAAGACTTTCATCTTTCAGTTCCAAGCTTTTCTATATTTCCAGGCAAACATAATCTCCAGGTTTCTAAATCATTACAGTTAATTCACTAAAACATTCTTGTTTCCAATGTCTATGGTGTCCACAAAGCCACAGAGCCTTTCAAGTCCCTTTTTATCCCTTTTCCTTTAAGCCAGGAAGCCATGTCTGCCAAAAAGAAAGAAACCAGGGCCTCCAGGGCCCCAAAGTTCATCTTCCAAGCCAACATCCCTAAAGACAGTTCAGTCAGACGGGGTGGGCAGCATTCTACTGGACACCCTCGTCGATTTGAAACTTTAGGAAAAAAACCAAATAGTCTCACTGAGAAGCAGTGAAAAATACTTACACAGACATTTTATATAAATTCTGATGAGACAGTGGAATCCTTAATACAACAGAAAGGGAATTGGTAAAGTACATTTTAGAAATGTTGGGAAGGTTGTGACAGATCCTTAAAGAAGTAGAGAAATCTTTTCTATGAAACATTAAATATGGATAAAATACACATTTCCTTCAACTGTACAAAGTTTAAAGCCTCAAATGCTGTATTTGGATGAGAACGCTTTATTCAGATTAGTGAAATATTAAACTAATAGAGAAGTAATTTTCTTCTCTGATAGTTTAAATTTTGTATAATTAAATTATATGAAAGCAAATCTGGGCTTACTTAGGAGAGTTTCTTCATATCCATCACTAGCATGGGATCTTTGACTCAAAGGCATTGACATGCTGTGACAATTCATTTCCTTCCTACAGCAACCATCTTGGCATCTTGCCTTGTGATTCTCTGGTGACAGGTAGTACAACTACTTCTGGACCACTACCTCCTGGGTCCCATTAACCACATTACTTCTTTCTTCTTCCTTAACTCCTAGAGGGTCACTTACTCTTTCAACTTAATGTAGGGCTTCTATGCCCCCACTCTGCAACTGAACTTGTCCTAACGACTGGCTGTGTTGCTCAGCTTCTTTCTTTCTTTTTATGGTGAAAAATACTCTGAAAATTTCCTATTAGAGGTGTAACTTGACATTTAAGCCTATTTGTTTATGATTTTTCTCATTAGTGGAGAATGATTACCTGATGCTCTGCACCTGTATGAGGGATATAATTGGAGAGAAGTTGAAAGAGGGAACATCCTAGTCTTCTGATTTCCATCTTTGAGAAGAGCATACATGTGTTTGTGGGCTCTCTTCAGAGAGGAATCCTTGGATGGAGAGAAAGACTCCATGAAGAAGATAACATATAGAGAAGCCAGCACTTCTACCATGGTCAAGCTTCCTGGGGCTCTGGGGAATTTCCCATTGGGTCAGATTAAGGATTCTCTTTCTTTGGTTGAACTGAAGTACCTCAGTGCCAGTAGTGGAGCTCATTCCTTCTGCGTATTATCTGGTAAAGTGGCATACCTCACATATTTGATACCTGGAATGCGTTATTTTTAAACACCTCCCCTTCTCAATATGACAAAATTATTTTCAGTAACAATCATGAATGAAATGAATAATATTGTTCAGAAAAATGCAGTGATTGTATATATGAACTTTATATCTATATGTATATGTATATACACACACATATATACATAATATGATATAATCTATATAAATAAGTATGCCAACAAAAAAATGCAAAAAAGAAAAAAGTAATAGATTAATATTTTTAATTATATTAAGGTATTTGGGGGGGAATGGAAAAATTTTATACCTATATATTGGTCTATTGTACAAGTGAATAATATCATTACAATTGATGATTTTAGATCTTAACTTCTGAAAACTTATCAGTGACTTCATCAAAATTGATCTGTGCATATTCATGTTCAGTAGACAATATAATTAGATTTGTTCATCTCTCCTCACTCAAAGTCGATCAAAGAACACTTCTAAAATTCGTTTTAATTTCAAAAATTTTATTTTTCATGAAACAACTGTTAAACAAGTTGTTAGAAAAAAAGTATTAAACAAAAGGATGGTTGGCAGTAATTTATAAAAATTCCATTTCAGAAGGGAATTTCAATAACCCGAAACATTGGCAAAAGGTTCAATTCAGGCAACTACTGAATTGAATCACTAATGTAACACTTCATTTTCTTGACTCATTTTTTAGTTTTCAAGAAATTAACATAAAAAGAAGAAAAACATTCCATTTTAAAGATATTATTCAAATATTTCATGTAAACTAAAATTTTCACTTACCAAACAAAAATATTATACTTCACAGTTCACAGTTTGACTGTTTTAAATTTCAAACACATAAACTCTAAGAAGCCACAAACATTTACAGAAATAACATAACTCTAGTTCTGTTTTTCCATCTTTACAATTATTGTACTATCATTGTTTATTTCAAATCTATTGTTTAGACACAAATTTTACTACCATAGGAATTACAGACCTGAATTGTTCCCAGAGTAAACTCAAAGAATTCCAATTCAATCAATCATTTATTTAACACCTACTATGTGATTCAGTTTCAACAGCTCCAATTTGACCTGTTTGAACATGCAAAGTAATTCAATTCAATTCAACAAGTATTTATTAAAACAAATTCTGCACCTAGGTACTGTGCTAAACATCAGGGCTACCAAAACAGTGTCTTCCCTTAAAGAGTTTACATTCTACTGAGGGAAAACAAAACACATGTAGGACTCTCTTCAGAGATATATAAATATAAGATATATAAAATATATAAGATGTATAAATATACAAGATATAAATGATACATATATATCTTCTATAAGATATATAAAAAGTAAATACAAAGTTAATGGGAGGATTGCTAAAAACTGGGGAAATCAGGAAAGGCTTTGTGTGGGATATGGCACTGGATCTTTGAATGGTTAGGATTCTAAGAGTTGAGGAAGTCGAGCGGTCCAGGTACAAGAGATAGCCTGTACAAAGTCAGAGGCAGGAAATGGAATGTCTTCTTTAGAGATAGCAAGAAGGTCTTCAAAGAAATCACACTACTAAGGGAAGACCAGAGTTTGTTCACCATATTAGCGTGGTGAACAAGTAATGAGTTGGAGCTCAAAAATATAGTAAGGTGCATTGGGGAAATAATGTAAAAGAATTCTGGAAAGATCAGTTGGAACCAAACAGTGAAGAGTTCTAAATGCCTGATAGAAGGAGAGAAAACCAGTACATTGTCATGGTATGGAAGATGTAGTGGGCCTGGCAGGCAAAGACCTGCACTGGAATAAGGCAAACTGGGCTTCCCTATTATGTAGATTTAAGTAAACCATTGAACCCCCTATATTGCCTGCCTTCTCTGAAAAGGGAAAGTTACAGATGCCTTCTTCATCTCAGAAGTGTCATGAGAAAATGAGATTATTGGTGTGAAAGCAATTGGAGATAAAGGTGTGATACAAATAGATGTCATCATTCTTAGTACAGAAGGTGGTACTTGCAACTTTGCAGGCCATACCACCAGTCAGTATCCCTTTTATGGTCCCAATGTCCTCCTGACTGCCCTTTCCAACCAAGGGGCAGTTCTCTGGGTGGAATGGTCTGATGTCACCAGGGGCCTCCTGCCTCGGAACCTTCAGAGCTGTTTGGACCTAAACACTTAGCTGACGTCAGTGCTCCATGGCGATGCTAGTTGTTTGGTGAGAGAGAAACTGTTATTGAATGGTCTGAATTGGTTCAGACACCTGGAGGAACCCATCCAGGTTAAAAACCAAGCCATCCCTGTGATACCTCGAGCCATCTGTCCCCAAACCATGTTCTCAGTAAGGATCCCCAGGGTAGGGATCAGCACAGGAAGTGCTCTGGAGACTTCAGGTAAGTGAACTGGGGTCAGGTGAAGTTGTGAAGGGAAGAATTTCAATGTTATAAAGGCAGATAGAGAAGGGAAGGGGAGAGGGTAAAAAAAAAAGGAGAAGGTATGAATGAGACCAAGAAAGAAAGAAAACAAATTTATAGAAAGACCTATACCCCACCATAGAACAGAATTCTGCTATGGGATCCTGGGAGAGGTTGTGCTAGAGGCAGAATAGTGGCGAGAAGATATAAGAAAGGGCTGGAATTCTCATTGTGCTCGCTATAAAGGATAAGCTCAACATGAATATACTTTGTGCTGCAAAAAGTAAGAGAATAGATTAGGGAACAACCTCTGCAAGGGGTAAATGTCACTTTGTTAAAGTATTATGCTAGGTTTTTTTCCCTAATCTAATCCCAGTTCAGTGCAACATTTAGACAAAGCTCTGTACAAAGACTCGTGGTGGATGTAATTAGGCTATGGCACCTACTACCTACCAACAATGACTTGCACACAAGAAGTTACATAAACGATGTCATCGAGGATTATACAGCCAGAAAAGCAATGACTGGTCATGTAGCAAGGGTGTTGAATAAAGAGATGGACAGCCCAAATGTTGATGCACAGATATCCACAAAATAGTAAAATACCCAGAGCAAGGCCTTCATCACATTAGGCAGATGCTCTATGGAAGATTTGTGGGAGGGTGTGGTCAAGAATTACACATGGATAGATTGTGATCTGTGCTGATGGAGTACCTGCAGCAATGAGATCACAAACCTACTGAAATATTCATACCAAGACAGCAAGCTAATGGAGTCATTCCCTCTGCTTCCTTACGTTAGCTGTCAATGAGGGCCCAGGCTCGGCCACCATCTCTTCCTGCAGTTGCCAGGTGTCCTGGTAGGCTCAGGGTCAAAAGAGTGAACTGGAGAGGTGGGGGGGGGGGGGCGGGGGAGAAGATGACCCAGGTTGGTCTCTTCCCTGTTCATGAGGGATCTCTATTCCTACAGCCCCACAGGACAGCAGCCCTCTAGCCTCCACATCCACCTCCCCAGGGTGTATCCCTAAGCTGAAGGCCTTGAGGAAGAGGGCTCTGAAGAGGGGCATGTGGGCTGTCGCTAGTATGGAAGGAACCAAGCTCTGCATGAAGAAGAGAAGGAGAGCCAATTTCCGCCCTGAGGATCAGGAAGCCTTCTACAGACTTCTTGGTGTGTGGCTTGAGCAGACTTTTGGGATTTTCCACAGGGAGGTTCCATAGAAGAATGATCAGTTGCTCCAATCTAGCTCCTGGGAATTACATCCTAGTGACTGTCAAAACTCAGTTGAGGTAGGGTGCAGATCACTTGGCCTCCCCTCCATGGGGCTGTGGACTCTTCTTTCCTCCCTCTTTGTAGTGGTTCCAAGTGAAATGGGCCCCTGCCCACCACTTACCCTCTATTGAGTTCTTTCAGGGTAAAACAAATTATACTTCATTAGCTCACATACCATCCAAATCCATTGGTCCCACACTCCCATTCAAATGCCATCAGAAAGCACCAAGGTGTGGACAAGAACAAAAATAATTGATTTCACTTCACACAGTCCTACAAAAGGACAGTCTTCTAATCATCTAAGATCTTATCCTTGGGCCTTGAGACTACAGAGCCTTCATTTGTAGATATACATTTAGAGATGTCCATTATTAATAGTTACAACAGAGAGGAATTATCTAGAGGAAATATATTGAGACAGGAAGCCTTACAAGGAGTTTATGACTTGCCAAGGGTCATGGAGTTAAGAGGTAACAGAATCCCAGTCTTTTGACTCTTAAGTTCTGTTGGGATCCTTCCCCCCCACTATACCACATTGTAGTAGAAAAAACTTCTCTTCTAGACCCTATTCCTGACCAGAGAAGGAAATGTGGCAGGACTTTCAGCTTCTCTTCCTTCCTAAGACTTCTTGGGAGGAAATTTCTCCTTCCACAACACTGGGCTTGGTCTTCCCAGCTCTGCCATTCCATGTCTCTGACCCATTCACTCTCTCTGCAGAGGATCCTGTCATCCAGAATTTCTTGGAGGCTGACATTTTCCTAAAAGTGTCTGATAAGGTATGGAAATCCCCAAAGGGTGGGACCTGCAGAAAAACTTGGGGGAATGGGTATGACAACTTAAATTTTCTCCCTGGTCAGAACAAAGCCAGTGAGAGAATTGCTTATATGAAGATAGGAGAAAGGAGAAATTTGGGCAGGAAGACTCCAGGGGATAGTGGCAAGGGACATGGTAGGGGAAATACAGGATTCCATTCTTGTCGTGCCAACTGAGCTCAGTGACTCAGTTCTCCATCCTCCTCCTGTTCCCTGTTCTCTTGGATCTTAACATATCTCTCTCTGTTCTGGATAGTATCTGCTCTCCATGGTGGTTGAATATTTTGGCCGAGTGGGACTCCCAGGAGACTGCTATAATAGGATTCATTTCTTCCTGGCCCTGTGAGTACCACCCCTGCCCCCAACTCTAAAGAGAAAAGTTGGCTGCTCTTCCTTTTCTGGTCCAAGAGAACACTGAGAAAATCTGCATTCCAGAGAGGCCTCCCTAATCTCTAGACTCTATCCATCTTTTACAGAGCAGGTGCTCTGATGGATTCCCAATATAGTCTTTATTCCTTGGTGCGTCCACATTGTGCCCCTGTTCATGGATGATAGGACAGGAGACTTAAATTAACAGACAACTAAGGCTCCCCCAGGGAGGGAAAGATAACCACCTATTAGGAATGTGATTAACAAAGCAGCCGGGGCTCCTCCCTATTCCCTACACCCACTAAATACTCATTAGCTGACTCTTAGAGGCTATAGTACAAAGAAGGATTCTCTGAAGAGTATACAAAAAGTTGTCCCTGAAATGGTGTAGTTTCTCAGTCATAGATGAAAGTCACCACCCCACACACCTCCAGCATTTCAGATTCTTTCCTGTTGTCTCTCTGGATCCCAGGCCAATCCTTAGAAATCAAGTCCTTCCCATCACCATTGTCCTGAGCTGGCACCAAACTAGTACCCAAGGGCCAAAGGTTCCCTTCCATTCGTTTCCTTTTCTAGAGCTATGTCTTCCAAACAATCTGAGGACTAGAGATGCTATTGAGGAGGAAACTAGATGAATATTTTCATTTCTCCATAACAGCTATATTGCCTGTGACATGGAGGAAGATAACCCTGTCTCCAAGTGGAGCATTTTCCCTTTTGTGCTTGGAAAGGAAGACTGGCCCAACCTCTATAAGGAATTTCTGAGGCTACAAGCAGACTTCTTCCATGCAATGGGTGGCAGAGCCTGGGTCACCCCAGAGATATGTGAAGAGGTCAGTTGGTGTTGGGGCAGGGGGAGAAAGTGGTGATGAGGTAAAGACAGGACCAGGACAAATCATCTGAGTACACTGCATTTCTATCAGTACATTTCAAAAGAGTAGGGAGGAAAGGGAAGGGGAAAAGCATTAACTTCACAACAATGTACATTAGACTTCCCTTTATGCATTCCACATCACTGCTGAAATGAGCTTCTTGCTGTCCTTTGCATGTAATATTCTATCTCATGTCTCCAGTGGAAATGTAAGCTCTTCAACAGCAGGAACTCTTTTTCATTTGCCTTTGTATTACCAGTGCCTAGCATAGTACATTGTTCATGAGAGATGCTTAGTAAATTCTTACTGAAGGTGGGGAGAGGGAGAAAGGGAGGAAGGGAGGGAAGAAGGAAGGAAAGGAAGAAGGGAGAAAGAAATAAAGGAAGAAAGAAAGAAAGAGAGAAAGAAAGAAAGAAAAAAGGAAGAAAGAAAGAAAGAAAGAAAGAAAGAAAGAAAGAAAGAAAGAAAGAAAGAAAGAAAGAAAGATATTAAAGGTCTACCTGAAACCCTTATGCAGAGACTCCTCTGAAGTCTAAAAAGAAAACTTCCTCTCTCCTCCACCCCATACCATTCTCCTTTCTTTCTATTGTATAAGTGGAATCTATGGACAAATCAGAACTGCATTCCCTACCTTATGACCCTGAGTCCTGGGGACTGCTGACTCTATAGGAGTGTATATTCAGTTACCAAGGTTACCCTGTTACTAGTGTTCCAGGAATAGACTTGGAGAGATGAGGGCAGATAGAGTTAACCCATGAGGTGGGGAGAGCAAGGACAAAAGAAAGCCCTGAGATTAACAAAACTAAGCAATCATTTATGTTCTAACAAGCTGTTTCATCATCCTCCCTCCTCCTCCATTGGATGACCAAACCACCTAACCAGGACATCTGATTGGCATTCATTGAGCACAATAGCTGAGTTGCGATGGTGCCTCAACACAGAAGGGACCAGGGGAGCATATCCTCATCTTAGAACCCTCTATTCCTCACAAATAGTCCAGTTCATGGAGGAATGGGGCCCATCAACCTCTCATGTTTACCTTTCAGATCCAGGCCCAGAATCCACTTCACTGGGTCTGGACCCGAGAACGACACTATCTCCCCTAGGCTCCCAGAGTGGAATGCCTAGGCCAGGGAGGCAGAAGTCACAAGAACAAGGAGCAGCGACCTCCAGGTGAGTGTGGGCCCAACCAGGAGCAGCTCCCACTTTCCATGGTCCTAGAGTTACTCCTTAGCTGCAATGGGGCTGGGGCAGGGATAAGGGAGCAACAACTTTAGGAATGAAAAACTTTAGAGTTTTTAACTATGCTAAGAGACACCTAGGTAGTACAGTGGACAGAGTGCTGAGCCTGGAATTAGAAAGACCTAAGTTCAAATGTGACCTCAGACACTTAGTAGCTGTGTCCCACTGGTCAAGTCATTTAACTTCTGTTTGCCTCAGTTTCCTCAATTATAAAATGGGGATGTTGCTTAGCACAATGCCTGGCATATAATATATACTAAATCCTTATCTCTCTTGCCCAAATTAAACTGTTACAAGGTGGCTGAAGCCATTCAAAGGAACACCTAACATAAGGTCAGAAGTCACAGGATTTAGAGCTGGAAGGGATTGTAAAGGTCATCTAATCTCACCCTCCCATACCAAATGAGATAACATAGGTAACATATTCTGCAAACCTTAAAGTGCCACATAAATGCAAGTTAATATTGTTATTGATGTTATTATTATTAGAGGTGAGGAAATTGAAACCCAAAGAGGTACATCAACTTGCTTGAGCTCATACAGCTAGGAAGCCAAATTGCTAGTATTCCAGGACTTGCTCTTTGTTTCTGGAGACAGTGTCCATCATCACCATACATTTTGGAAGCAAGGGAAGAAAATAAATAAATATAGATATAGATATACACATGTACATATATACATATATATACACACATACATATATACATACATATACACCCACATTCAAAATGCTATCATCCTATACATTCCCTATTTTATTATTTTGGAGAATGAAAAGCATTGAAAGTATTTCTTAGAAAGGTGTCTTAAGTACAGTTTTTTCAATAAATAGAGGATGGACTAGATGACCTCCCAAGTTCCTTTCCAGCTCCAGGATTCTCTGATCTCAGAAGAAAACAAGATTCCTGCTACTAAGGGTGGGATATGGATGGTGTGGGGTTGGGCGGGTAGGGATAGAGAGGGACAAAGAAGATCTAAGATTCTTAAAGAAATCACTAAAATCTGTTGAAACCCAATGAATTACGTTGATGGGAAGAAGTAAAGGAAATGATTAGGACTTCCTGAAGTGTGTCTGGGATGGAGGGAGGACCAGTTCAAGTAACTGGATAAGGAACAAGAGGGTGACTCTTTCCTCAAATCTTCATTTATAACAGAAACCAAGAAAGAGAGGACCTAATGGAGAGCCTACCAAAAGAAGGGTTCCATCAAAAGCAGGTAGAGAATTAGGTGTCTTAGAACAAAGGGAGTGGTTCGCTAAAAGAGAATAAAGCAGAGGTGATGGGAGCTCTGGGAAGGATAGGGAGGAGGAAGGGGTAGAAGTGAGGGAGAATGTGAAAATTTAGAGTAAGCAAAAGCTTAAGGAAACTCCACAGAATTAAAGTAGATATATACAGGAGAATGAACTGCTTGAGGAAATAAAGAGCTTTGACTTGAGGGAAGTCATTCCTAGGTGGGCTGGCAAATGAACAAGTCAATACTTTTAATAAACCTTAAGCGTACTAGGGTTTGGGGGACATACAAAGTTTAGAATAACTTCATTCTCTTCCCTCAATGAATTTAGAATTAGCAAATATTTAGTCTTCTCTAATCCCCAAAAAAGACTGTCTTTTCCTTCTTATTCCATCCTTTCTTCCTGCATCCCCTTTCCTAAGTGAATTTTCAAATCAATTCAACAAGCATTTATTAGACACTTACTGTGTTCCAGGCATTATGTTGGATTTGGGGAATATTAAGAAAAAAAATTAAAGTTGTTCCTGCCTGTGAGGAACTTATACACTACTAGAAAAGGTTAGCATTGAATGCCTGTGCACACAATAAGTTGTCCGAGGCACATGAAAGCCACGGTCCTTGCCCTAGATGGACTAGTAATGGGGGAATAGGACACAGGTGCTCAACACCTTTAACATATGAATACATGGCAGTACACATTGTACCAGACACACAGATCACATACAGCAATCTCTCTGAAGGGGAACCAGTCAGGTGGGGGCAAGTCCTTTAAGGTATCTCAGTGCCTGGAGATAGAAAAAGAGCCTGGAGGAACTAAACACTGGAAAGAATATCTACCTGAGGGGAAATACTATAGAACTGTCTCCATGGTCGGGCGCTAGATGAATAAGTTGCGCTAAGTGACAATCCCAGATAGACTGACCTTAAGGCAATGTGGGAATACATTTTTCTGATGCTCTTATGTTGTTAACCTGCAATTTGAGAGTATTGGAAAATAGGAGGAAAAAGAGACAGATAGTTTGGGCAGCAAAGGAAGGAAATAGATGGAAGAAGTAGCCATCTATTAGAAATTCCCTAGTGGCTTGGCATCATTAGAATTTTCTCACCCTGCTTGGTGAAGGTCACCCATCTGGCCTAAAGAAAGACACAATGAAGCGAAGTGAAAAAACGTGATTTTCCTTCTATTAGGACATTGGAGCTAGGCAGAAACAATTAATAAAAAGCCTAAGGAGAGACCTAGAGAGAGGGGAAGAAGCCACACCCCAGGGTACTAAGGACACCAGGGCAAAATATATAGTAGGAGTAACCAGATCAAAACATTCATGAAGACAAGGACTGTTTTACCTGAATTTTGTGCCTCCCCCTGGTGCCTAGTATAGTGCTCTGCACACATTGGGCCCTTAACAAAGGTTTGGTAAATCGATGTGATCCCAGGGAGGGATATGGAACTAAAAACTCCAGATGATGAAGCTGGATCCAGAGAAGGCCCTCTGGAATGAGCCAGTGGAGCTAAGAAAAACTCAAAGACTCCTTGGGGAAGAGGGAGGGAGTGAGAGAGTGAAGAAGGAAAGAAGAAAGGAAGGAAGGAAGGGAGGGAGGGAAGAGGAAGGAATGAAGGGAGGGAGGGAGGGAGGAAGGAAGGGAGGAAGGGGGAAAAAGAAGGGGGGAAGAAGGGTGGAAGGGAGGAAGGAAGAAAAGCCTATTTTTGTGGGGTCTTACTTCAAGTCCAGATGCCTGTGTCCTCTCTGTCTGAGGTCGTTGTAGTGCTGAAGGAATACAGGATTCACTGTGAGAGCTTGGCCTGGCCAGTAGCAGCAGGAGACAAAGAAGATGGAAGAGGAAGAATTAGAAGCCCATCTTCAGAAAGGGAAGGAATCCCAAAAGAAGAGAATTCTGCCTGCAGTGAGCAACAGTTCCTGCTGCCCTGAGGTGTGAGGTTGACCAGAAGTTGGGGAATGGGGGTGGGACTAATCCAGTCTAGATATGTTTCACTTTACAAAGTAGGTGTGTCCATAAATTTTTTTTTTTATGAATTTAACTATATTTTAAGTATATTAAGGGATCTGGCTTTTTAAGAGAAAGTCCGTTGTGAAAAAACTCTTTTGTAAAGAATGTGATCATCAACATGCCCCCACACATATTTACATACATATTCACACATTGTATACTACCACTAGTATCTAATTTATCTTTTGTGTAAATCAAGATTTTCACGTATTGGGTTTACTTAAACAGGATTATAACTTTAGTAGAGGGTAAGCAATCAAGTGACCCAAGCTCTAAGGGGGTTAATGATGAAACTGCTTAGAGGAATTGTCATCCATTGGCCTTCACTGCCTCAGGAATATGCTTGATGACACCGTCCCACTATAGGAGAGTGACTGGCAGGGTATTGCTAGGAAGAAGACACGAGGGAAGAGGAGAGAACACTAGGGAAGCCAATCCTGTCTTACTGTGGAAGGTATTTGGCTTTTTCCTGTTTCTTCCTCACTCATCCTTTCCTTGTAGCTCCAGGACCACAAAACAGCTGCCATCTGCCACCCTACACCAGCAGAAACCGATAGGACAGTAACTCCAGAGATATGAGTTCAGTCCTCCAGCTTCTCTCAGAAAGGAAAGTCACAGGGCTCAAGGGACTATGTCTGGTCTGGCAACCCTGGCAAAAGGAAACAGCGCTCAGGGTATGCTTGAACCTTCAAATGGGCCTAATTAACTAGCCCCCAAATCTGTGGTTCACTGGGTGTGGGGAGGGGGCACTGTGGAAAGAGCAAGTGATGGTGGTACTGGAGAAAAAAGAGCACACAAGTAGGAACAAGAACTTGCAAATAGGGCTGTATGAGAAGCTAAGAGGAGGAAGAAGAGGTGCAAGTAAGAATGGAAGATGGAGAACAGAGATGGGAGAGGGCTTAATAAAGAGTAAAAGGAGAAGAGGAGGAATAGAAGAGGAGAAAGGGGAAGGAAAGGAGCAAGTGAGAAAGGAGGAAGGAGAGGAGGAAGAAGAAAGTGAGCAACCAGGGGAGGAGGAGAGGGGATGAGCAAATGACACATGTAGGAAGGACATTGGGGAGACTTCTCCAGCTGTTTCCTTGCAGGGAAACCCTGGACTGGAGTATCCCAGAATATAATCCATCATCCAGTCCTGCTGGAGTTAAAACCTCCTGTTTCTCTTTTGGGTCCTCTGCCCTGGGTATGAGCTAGGCAGGAAGCTCATGCCTTCCTGCTACCTTTTAGGAAACTCAATCATGTTTACAGCGATCTTGTTTCTCATCTCTTAAGGCTTCTTTTATGGTTATGTCTATGTATACTATGTGTTATTACCCTTTGGTCTCTACCAAATAAATCTCCCTCTTGAATTAAGAATATTTGTATGGCATATTATTTCAAGGGCCATTGTAAAGAACAGACATTGTATCTTATTGGATATCATCCCTAGTAGGCAGATACTTTGGAAGCATTTTCTTCTTGGTTCAATTCAATTCAACAAACACTTAGGTGCCCACTATGTGTAAGAGTCTGGGCTAGGAGCTTGGTATACAAACAAGAAAAATGAAACAGTTCTCACCCCCTGGAAGTTTTTGTCACCGTTCACCCACTTATCCCTTTCTCATATTTAGAGAATTTCCATTCTTTAGAA